GACCTAACAGTTACAATAAAAGCCAAACAATTGTGTCCAGGGCAAAGGATCTAAAACTGGGTGTGTGGAAAGTTCTGATAGGTAACGGAGGCAAGCATGTCCCTGGGGATTACAGGAGCTTCAGCACCGAGGACCACCAAGAATCCTGGGATGCTCAGGCCTGGGCTCACTGGACAACAGCTTATCCTGTAATGTCACGCTGCTCCTACATATTTCCAGCTTATTTTTTCTCTCTTTGGCATCAAAAACCTGCCCATGAATCCCACTTCTGTGGCCACTTACTTTATACTTACTTCCTTGTTAACTATCATTTCTTGCTCTTCCCAGTGCTGCTGACAGTTAACATTCACTTGATGGCGAAACTCTGTAGTGTTCTCCCTGAGAGGACGCTAGAGAAATGGGTGGTGTGCGTGTCCCCACTGCCATCACACTCCTCTGCCAAGGACCTTCTTCTTCTAAGTCTGCTTTTCTTAACCCTGGAGGTTATGTCACTTCCTTGAGAAGTTTCATCTGAAAAAAATCAATTCATGGTTTCTAAAGTTGATTTGCTTTCCACGACCTTCTTTAAGAAGCCGTGCAGCCTGCCCAAGATAAATGTTGCATTGCTCAGCTGAGATCGATTTGACGCACAATGGGAGGTTGGCTGCTGTGGCTGCTCATTCCCCTGGTTCCACGCAAAAGCTAACAGCAAAGCTCCTCCAGTCGCAGAAGTTGTGTAAGTCCGGTCGGAACCCTTCTGATCCTCGAGTTGCCCCTTTTGAGAGTCCCGTTCTGTATTTCAGACTACGGCAGGTGGGTTGATGGTGTAGTCCCTCCCGCACCCCGCTTCTCCACTGGCAGTGTGTGGTCACCGCTGCTTTTCCTCTGCTGAGGAAAGTCTTGGGAGCAGGCTGATGACCCCGTCAGCTCTCGTCTCAGTGACTCCCGCCTCTCTTGCTTCATTGTGTGGCTCTGGCCTGCCTTAATGATCACCTTCTTGAGGAAGCTGGCAGGGCTGGGGCTGCAGCTCAGCTGCATGAGCGCCTGTCTGCCGAGCACAAAGACCTGAGTTTGATCTCTTGAAAGAAAGAAAGAAAGAAAGAAAGAAAGAAAGAAAGAAAGAGAGAGGGGAGAGGAGGGGTTGGCGGAAGGGAGAGAGAGAGAGAGAGAGAGAGAGAGAGAGAGAGAGAGAGAGAGAGAGAGAGAGAGAGGAAAGAACAGAGCAGAGCAGAATAGAGCAGCACAGAATTGGCTTCCAGCTGCAAGTACAGGAAGTCAGGAAGTGTGTGCACAGCCTGGCAGTTTCCTTTCTCTGAAATGGGCTGTGTCTGTGTGGCATGGACCAGGATTTGCCTCTAAGCCTTGGTGGGGTTCTTAACTCTAGGAGAACAAGGGCAAGGTGCCTTCTCTTGCTCGTTCTGTCACTAGGACAGTGTGGTTTGCTCCACCACTTGGGACTGAATTGATTGGAAGAAATAGTTGGCTACTGCACTGGAATCTAAAGACTTGGCTGGGATTTAAAAATGATGGCTCAGCAGTACAGGTTTACACAGTACAGAGAATATGTGATATAGACTGTGTAGTTTAGACAAGTGTGGACATAGATGTCTACATCGTGGGGGCTGCCGGGAAAAGATTTTCATTGCTCTTTCCAATTAAGGAGATTAAGACCTAAAGAAAAATATTTTTTTAACTTTTCTATTGGAAACTTTAAACGACTTCTACTAGAAGCAAAGCTTAATAGTCCTACTGCCGCACATACCGAGCAGATCCCTGAGACCTTTGGACCCACCTGTAACAGGTCACAAATGCCACAGCACATTAATGGAAGACATATGCTTACCCCAGTCCTGGAGAGGAGCCTGGCTTGGAAGCCGAGGCTGGAGGTCCGTCAGCCCCGTGGACTGGCTCACTCTGCTCCAGCTTTGAGCAGGCTCAGGAACAGGGAAGGCCCTGGCAGGGCAGGCGCTTTGGGCTTCCTGCAGGCAAGTCCAACTTGGGGGAGGGTGGGGCACAGGCAAAAGGAGGAGGGACTAGATGGAGAGCACGCACCTCTTCCGCCCCACCCCTCCTAGGGTGCAGAGTGCAGTTAAAAGCAAAGGGCCATTGCACCCCGGGGGGGCACTGATGATGCCACCACTTGGGAAGAGCCTTCAAGATATCATACTGCAGAAATCCATGCACACCCATGTCTAGAGGAGCACAGTCCCAGTAGCTAGCAGAAGCAAACAGTGGAGGTATCCATCAACAGTGGGATGGGTAAAGAAACTGGGGAATGTCTTAACAGTGGAGTACTATTCATCCATAAAGAATGTATTGCAGGCATTGATAGGAAAGTCGGTAGGTCTTGAGAGCATGTTATTGAGTAAAAAATAATAAAAGACCCCAGGCTGGCCTTGAACTCGCAGCAATCTTACTGTCTCAACATCCTGAGTGCTGGGATTACAGGCATGTGCCACCACACCTGGTTCTTGGTTTCTAAGGGATATAGAAGACTAAATATGTCATAGTTTCTTTTATACAAGAAACACAAAACATAAATAAAGCATAAAACAAAGGATGGATTGAAGCAAAGGGTGAGTAGCCTTTTTGGAAATAGGAAAGGGGATCTGGATATAAAAGAGGAGGGAGGGATTATAAATGATCAAGATTCTCTGTCTGTCTGTCTGAATACTCCAAGATGAATATAACTGTGTATCACAAATGCACACCGATTAAAAATTAAGTTCCCGCAGTCTCAGTGAAGGGCGCTTGGCCTATGGCCACTAGGATATCCAGGGGAAGCCCCAGGCTGACCCCAGCACCGAGGTCAGCCCCATTCAGGGTTGGGGGTGGGTCATTCAGACATGTGGCCCTAACAGCCAGAGGAGAGGAGCTTCTGTCACCAGGCAGCAGCATGACAAGATCAGGGTCTGAATGCAGGACTGTCATGGAAGGCAGCAGAGCGTGGGCACATCCAGCGCTCTGTGCTGCTGCTCGGCCATCAGACAAGTCAGGCTCTTCTTGGGGTCGGAGGACTCAACCAGGAATTAGAAGGACTCAGCACTCGCAGTGCCAACTTGACCCCCAGGCTTGTCATGCGCCAGGCCGGGGGCTGTCCCTGCTTGGGATCTAGCCTGGGCTTAGCCATTCTTATTCCAGCATAGTCCTTTGCATATCTTTTCTGAAGCCCAGTCACCTGTCCTCTTTGCAGTTGGGCTCTGACTTAGCATATTCTTGTTTTCTATGAGTATTAGAGAACAAGAGTAGAAACATAGACACACTAATATTGAGTCTGTACTCCTTTTGCAACTCAGCTGTAGGCATGGGGAACTCGTGGCCTCCATGCTTGGCCTCACCCCTGTTGC